CGGGAGACCCGCGGCCGGTCCGTGTGTGGGCCGGCGCGGCCTGCTCCGCCCGCCCGGCGCGGCGCTCGCTCCTGCTGCCGGTTATTTTTACATTTTTAGGCAATTTACATTTAAAAACAACTGGCTTTACACTCTGATTTCTCCTCCCTCATTCTCTTTGCATTCCACTTCCTCCTTCCTCATTCCTTTGCATCCCATTTTCCCCTCCCCCCATTTTATACCCTTCAAAAAAATAAACCTGAGGCTGGTTCTGGTCACAACTTCTCCCTTAGAGAGGGTGTGCCCACCCAATCCTTGTTTTTCTATACTTGTGTGTCTTTGTCATTGCAACTCGTTCCATATACTTCTTTAAGACTTCCTAAACTATAGTTTATAGATTCCTTCTTATAAGATACTTAATTTACTATGTAAAGCACAAGGGTCAATGACACTTGGCTTTAATCTATTCAGTTTTAATGGGATGCCTGAGACAAAATAGTTCCCTCAGTAAATGTAATTCATTAGTCTACTAATTCATTACAAAAGTAGTATATCTGTATTGTTAGTGCAGCAAACTTTCCTCCTTTGCATTACTTTTTCTGTACTTACCATGTCCAACTTCTAATTCTCTATCCTTTGTTTTGCAAAGGGGTTATGGGGCTTTAGTCCAGAAGACTGTTACAGAGGAATATTTAGGGAAGACAGGCAAAGGCCAATCTTCTAAACCAGTCATAGATTTATGCTAGATTTCTAAAGAGAAAGTTTAGGGACATAGCTGCATACTAGCCAGTATTCTCCTGGGGTGCTAGGTTATACTGCTTAGGTGATTTGTATTTTAACCTGGTTCTTATTGCATATTACAGTTAATATTTCTAAATTTACTTTGCTATTTCTACTGTAAAAGTCTTGTTCATTTTTCATTCTTTGGTAGTAAATAGCTAACATAACTAACTTATTTATTCAAATATGTTATTTCCTTAAATACTAGTTGAATTGAAATTTTGTTTAAGGAAAAAAATCATTGTACACAATGGTGGCTTCATTTGTTGACCATATGTCAGGCACTGTCCTGGGGAGCTTCACATGCATTAATTTACTTTATTTCTTCCAATAAAACATGGTAATTCCATTTCTCCATCCTGTTGGAACCCTGGGTACATCCAACCT